GATGACTGGGCAGATTTGGATCAAAGTTGGTATAATGATCATACATATTGGGTTGTTAGGTGCACATTTTTTTTCGTGATTCGAACAAATATGGCCAACTAGCGGTCATCTTGTTTTTCATGGTACCCATGCTACTTTCTCTTGAACGCAATGAACATTTCTATTTAAATTTTGTACAAAGATAGTATACCAAGAGATACATCTGCACCAACATGATTTTTGTGATTCAAATCACTATAGCTGGTGTAAAAGAACAAAATCATAACTACCGTACTCGACCGCGTTAGCGCCCAGGGGCCTCAACTCAGAAAATCACGATTTTTTAGGGGTGGGCGCTTACCCGAGCACCCCCCTCGAAAAAGAGTGAAAAATTTGATTCATCAAGTAACAGATTACGTCTTTGAGGGAAATCAAATTACGAAATTAATTGAGTCGTCATTGATTTTCACAATGAAGAAACAGAAATGATCACAAAAAATATGCACATTTTATTACAATATTAATTACGTACCACCAGAATTTACGAAATTAAAAACATTTGAGTCTGTTGGAACACAGTCGAAGTCAAAATTGTCATATTATCTCCACTGACGAAGGTGTTGGATCGTACGCAAACTCTCGATGAAAATCACTTTCCGCCATGATGCATTTGCAGATTTCACCTGCAGTGGCGTCCTTTGACCTAATGGGTCAAGTTGGTTATTAACCAATCACAATGCTGTGTTGTACTGACGCAATTCTTCGGAAATTCCCGAAGACTTTCCGGTAACGCAATGCGGAAGTGAATTATCGATGTCGAAGTACGATCTGTTGGAATTGATTTCAGCGAATAAACGACATAGTTTTTCCAAAAAACTAGTAACTACCCATTTTTGAGAGGTAAACTGAATATGGCATGAAATATTTACCGCATTTTACTTGTATTAACAGGTCATTGTCGAAGCGTAGTTTACGCACGGTTACCGTGTTCTACGCATTCACAACATGTTCACAACGGTCGATATCCACGCTGTATCATATAAAAACGATTACCAAGATTCGTTACGCAAGACCAAGTACCAAGTTTTACATTAGTTGCATTTTGCAGGAGTGGGCGCTTTGCCGAATGTGAACCCAAATATAAAAATTGCGCAAAAGTGGGGGGTGGGCGCTTGCCCGGGCATGGGCGCTAACGCGGTCGAGTACGGTATATATATATGTAATAAACAGTAATTGTGATTTGATCAATTATAACTTATATGCTGGCAGTGTAAAGGTCATTTAGGGTTTATGAGTACAAATATGTGATTAAACATGTATCTGACTATCAAAAATCAATCAAAATATGCCATTTTTTTGGCATAAGGAAGCCAACAAGTCTCTTCATGCTGAGAAATGGGGAAATACGTTTATGAAAAACGAGTAGCCTTAGGGATGGTATTAGCTATTACATATTTGACAGTAATTTCCTGAAACTATATTGTTCTTTGAAATATTCTGTTTTAAATTCTGAAGAAAAAACTTAGGGTACCCATTATTGCATGTATTTTGCCAATTTTCAAATCCGAAAAGGCCTCCAAAGTAGGGGGGTTGATGCTAAAGGAAAATCACTGTTTCAATGAAAGCATGTTTAAGAACAGCCTCTTTTTTATTTACTTTTTGTCACTTATTTGATCAACTTTTCACTCTGCTAAATATCAAGAAGTTATCATGCTTTTAACATTTCCACATTTTTCTACTTAGCTTCCCCTCCATAACCTCTTTTCTCCACCTTGCATTTGTCATTTTTATTTCAAACATTTTGATCTGCAACAAGATGTGATGTTCTACAAATATAAGTAGTTGGATTACTCGACAAAAAATGTCCTCAATTCCACAAACTGTTAAATTTGTATTCGCACTTTGCAAATATGTTAAGTACCACCCCCTGATCCTTACATTATATGTATAAACACCACCAAATGTTGAGATTATGGTTGGGTGATTAGTTGCAGAAAAGGAATTAAGAGAGATTTGTAAAAAATAACCTTGATTTGTAAACCACAGAAACTCACTAAGAAGATACGTTTGTGTGAAGAAATAAGACTATGCAGTACCGTCAAAATAAAATCAATGGAAAAGTGAGTTTATTTTTTAGCTAAAATATTATTATATAAACACATCTCAAGTTTTTAGCTGGTTCTAGGAGATAATGTTTAACATATTTGCAAAGTGGAAATACAACTTTAATTGACACAGAGTGGTACTTATGTATAACCTTTGATATTAATAATAGGATGCTTGATGACCCCTGAGATAGCACAATAATTTAAGAAAAGAAATTTGAATTGTTGATGCGTTAAGTTACAGCCATCAAAACAATTATGTGTTACCAGTTCATACTCAGCTGGAGGCAAGAATACCAAGCAATCAAATTACACCTATTAAATAATGAGACTTACCAAATGTGATATATGCAATGTTGTCCCCCACCATAGCATCAGTTTTTTGCAGCTCTAGAGGTGGTTCTTTGTGAGTAAATAGAACTTGTGGAGACGTGTGACTAGCACGCCGACCTTCCTTGAATTCCTACATACACAGTCAAGAAAAAATAAATAACGTAATCAGTAAGTCTGGTTTAATTGTCTTAAACGTTTTGCTAGTATCCTTGCTTACTTGCAAAGCATGTATTACATTTTTTTGAGTTCTTGAATACAGCAATAATGTAATTCACTTGTTCTGTGATGCAATTGACTAAAATAGGTTTGATTTGTACATGCACAGAACCCGCTACATCTTTATTGTAGCAGAAATTGTATTGGTCTTCTCAAATTGACAAAGTTCACCGAAGAAAGAAAAGTATTTCAAGTAGGATAATACCCCGACACACGAAGGTAGGAGATTTTCGACAGACTGAAAAACAACAAGTTGCAACATTGTGATACAGTGTTCTCCACAAGGGGTTTTAGGCGGGCGGCCCGCCCATCAAGTTTTACGGCCGCCCAGTAACTCTCAACACCCGCCCACCAACGTACATCCAGCTGAAATTATTTGTAAAAAGCTTGCATTGTTCTTCCCAAGCCTAAACAAAAGAGTAGTTGCCCAACCCTTTATTTTTCTATTGTTTCAAGAGTCCAAACATAAACAATGTCCATTGGAAGTCTGCAAGCAGTTATCAAGTATATTCATGGCAATGTGTCAATCGCCTGAATTCATTGTCGCCCGACATTGTTGCCACTTAATGCTCACGACACGCAACTACAGTGGTTTCAATTTACAGCTGTATTTTTAATAATCATCTTCCGATCACGAAAGAAAGAAGTAAATACGAACGAAATGGATATGCACAGAAAATAAACAAATATATTAGCAGATTGCATGTAAACTCGAACAAACATTTAAATTCTAGCCGTATTTACAACGTACGCTCGATTTTCATTGTGAAAACAGCATGGAGAAGGCAAACTGATGACCTTTCGGCCTACCCCATTCAACGACCGTCTGCTACCCACCGCTGTTGGCGCTGTAACGATTTAGTATCTAAGTTGCATAGGGGAACAGCGCATTCTGGGTGTTCGTGTACTGAATTCGGAAAGCGGTAATAAACATCAAACATGGCTGCTGGATTAGTTTACCGCGAGTATTTGTAATTGAATAATATTTTAGTTATCTTTTCCACGTACTTTTTTCAATTAATCTATTTTTTATGTCTAATCTTTCGAGAACATATCAGATTCTTTTATTTTGCCGATTGCTAGCATTTTTTTCTTGAATTCCAAAACAATGTGTGAAAACGCAACGTATCATGGCCGTACATGCGTAAATGCATCTTACCGTCCATCGGCACGGGTGAGTACTGATGCCACAAATAAAAATGTTATGGATTTTGTTGGGCAAATCATCTCGTATATTTTCTACATTATAACTCAATTATGTTTTGTACTTGCTCTTGGTTACTCGAATTGCATTTCATGAACGCAGAATAATTTGCGAACGCATAAATCACCAATTTCAAACTTTTTGCATTTCGTAAATATTGATAGTGATCAATCTGTTTGTATTTCAAAAAATTGTAACATGTTCCCATTAAAGTAAATTAAAAAGAGAATAGTAAATAACTTAGTGTGTATTGCAGTTCATGTCATAAATGCGAGAATGCTGTATGTAAATGATATGCAAATTGATATGCAAATTTATGCTAATTAGGCCACCCACCAGCTAATTTGGATTGTGGAGAACACTGTGATACAAGCCACACTTAAAAACGAGATTTTAATGGAATACTTGTTTTATATGAATGCTATCCTTTTTTTTAATAAATATTTTTACCTGCATGAAAACTTTTCCAATTATAACATCATCATCATCTTTGAAGACAGTACTGAAAACCACTGTTACTCGATCAGGTTGTGCTTGGACATACCTAATAAAATAAACCACACCATGTAGAGTACATTATTGCTATGACAGTGCAGTTATAATGAAACTAAATGTATATCAATGTAAAACATGGTTTGATTTTAGCTATAGTAGTTGGAAGATACATGTCAAATAATGGTTGCATGTCATTTCATCAATAGGCAAAATTATCATTATTTAAGTGCCCAACCTAATGTGAAACGAATTGATGAAATTATTGCTTAGAATCGCCTCTGGTTTGGAAAAAATTATTTTCAGAAATTTAAATTCCACAGCATTTTAGCAGGTCATTAAGCACACCTAATATACAGCTAATTACATGGAAAGATTGTTTTTCTGGTGCTCTTGTAAATGTTCTTTCTCTATATAATAGTATAAATTTATAGAATTTTGCATGTACTGGTATTTATTTTATTAGTTAAAATGTAGATTTTAGATTAAAGAATTGTCACGAGGGAGAGAGGTTCAATACTTGCTGCGAAGACTTAACCGTGATGAAGAAGTGTGTCACATTTCAATTGTATCATTCCAAAACACCTGTATAGATAGATGTGTGAACTGACTCCATTTTTACCACTTTAGAGTCAGCAAGCTATTAAATACAGTTGAATTCTTGGTTTCTTTTCATACAATGAATGCTACCCTACATGTATAGTGAGAGTGTTTAACATTCATCACAACAATTAAGGTGTAATTAAGTTTGAATCAGGTGTGATCACAATCTGCTAAAAAAAAATCCGAAAATCATTTATTTACAAAATCGGCAATCACGTGTAATATTTCCATGAATTTGTACCACATTCAATGGTATTTGGATAATAAAATACCGAAATATCAAACTTTTTTGTTGAAATGATCATTTGACGATCATGTCCTCCATTGTCAAATAATAGATTTATGCATGATTCATACTCACATAGTTTCATCGTCTCTGTAATGAATGACAGCTTGTTTATGTCCCGATTCTTCACGTTCTTGGAAGTCAAAGTAGGTATTGAATACCGATGCAAAGCAGTGCCTCTTAAAAAGACCAGCTTCTTTGACCACTTCATCTTTATTTGCTGGCACATTCTCAAGGTCGTACAGAAGGGACGCATTGTGACCGGCTTCTGTAGTTGTCAGGTAACTGCCGTAAACTTTTTTCAGTAACTAAAATATAATTCCAATAAATATAACAATCAATACAAAGTGTCTGCAGCAGCCACAGTCGGTTTCAACAGGTAAGCAGTCTAGTACTATAAACTATTTTCATTTCACGATGGACAAATGTACATGAATTTGACAGATGGAGAAAACAGGCAAATTGTTTAGCTGTAAACATTTTATTTTGGATTATTAAAATGCCTGTGAAATGCCAATTAACACATTCATGTTTTTGGTTCCTGTTGTCCTGAAAAGGACATTTGAGAAAAAATAAATTTAAATATTATTCATATTCAAGATTCATCAGTGGACTATTTTAGCCTTCTGACTTCTTCTGAAGTGAAACAGCGCCACCAAATGTCAGACAAAAGAAAGAAGCCATGCACTGACTACTGTGAAAAATCATAATCCCAATACAATTATGATAAGTTTTTTATGTATAAATAAAACATGATGACAGAGGATTGAGTATCCTGCAATCCTAGTGTCAAAGCAAATGGTTCAATCAAATATCTCTAATTATGAAAGATCCATTTTCCAAACTGTCATCATTTGAGTACAGAGATGTATCCTAGGGATCTCAGCAGACCAATGGAAGTGCTGGTCACTCATGAATGAACTTAGTCACACATGCAAATACTTTTTTCATTCAAGTTAAAGTATTATTTGTTATTTTTTCAGTTCTGAAAAAAAAATTGGACATCAAAAAAAAATAGTTTGAGTTCAAAAATAAAACATTGTTGTAATTTATTATTAGTAATTTATTATCAGCTTCCAAATCATTTACATACCAGTAAAATTTTTATTGTGAGAGAATGTTTTTGAACACCCGAATACTTTACAAAATCACAAACCCACAATCATGTTTGGGATGCATTTGACCAGCATGCGTCCTTTGACGCAATGGGTCAAGGTGGCCATTAACGAATCAGAATGCCGCCAGTAAAACCATAAGTTTACTGAATGTTAGTGATCGTAAAAATTGCATTGTGAAAGTAAAACAATGTCATAGCATGATGTGTTGGCATAGATCATTTGTAAACAGCACGATGGTTTTTAAAACTATGATACCAAGAAGAGTTTTGACATCATTCACAATGTATTTTGAAATTTATTTTACCCACACTATTTTTTGAGATAAACAGATCGTGATATTTGCTTTGACCATTATGTATTGCGATGGAAGTGATTTTGACAAAATTTTAACTTTCAAATTAAGGAAACAAATAAACAATGAGGTGCTAATTTTATAAAATTGACTAATATTGTAATGCACTACAACACCATGCGGCATTGTTTACAAATTCAAATCCATGACTGGCAGGATATGCGTCAGTCGGTGCATAATTATAATAACATTTGAAACATTGTCCTGGTGGTCGCTAATTTTGAATGCCAGTGCGAGTAGGGCTGACCCACCACCACCAACCAGCATGCTGAGATCCCTGGTTGCCTCGTACATACATACTCCAGTAAGTGCTATGCATTGTGTTCACATGGTAATTACATCATATACTTCATGTAGGCATAAAACCTCCAACTCTGTATATAAAACGCGTCTGATTGACACTAAATAATTATTTTAATGATGTCCCAACTTCCAAAATATCTTCAAATGCATTATCTGGGTGTTTTCGTGAATGAATGACGTGGGCTTTTCACAGCCATTTTTAGAGAGGACGGTAGTCGTCGTCCCACGCATGCGCGAGATATTTGGATCTCATATAAAACAAAGACGACTTTGACTGTTGGGCAGATCAACAAGTGCAAATTGCAAGTGCTAGTGCTGACACATGGTGCATTTTTGCCACAGAAGTCATATTCATATTTGGGACTACATGACAGGATGTGCGGATATCTTCCTACCAAATGGCAATTCAATGCGCTATCCTGGCGTCAACCAGGCTCAGTCGAACACAAGCACCTGCGGACCTTAACAAGGTTCCCTCAAAGTCGCATTTGAATGAATCTCGGCCAGTGGATTTGCCCTTCCATCGAATCTGTGGCACACTCACATAGGGTATGGGTCTAAGGTAGGATTTGAACCGATTGTGAGTCTGATGCGACAGCCACTATGATACCAGTGATCGGTCAGTTATTTTTTTAAGTAATTGGAAGGTATCGAAGGAGAAGGTAATTGGTGCAAGTTGCTCCAAGGTCAAACCACATGCTTGTGCTTTCCATTAGCAGAATGCATTGAATGGTGGAAAAATCAATGTTTATCAACACAAATGTCACACATGCACAGCACGAGGACTACCGTAAAATTCCTAATTGAGGCCGCAGCTTTAAATAAAATTCATTTTTTCAATGGACGAATTCAGATGCGTGAAGTCTTGGTGCGGCTTTAATTAGAGCATTCACTTCGGTAACAGTGGTAAATTTTTTCAAAAAACAAAGGCCAGAAGGGATAATGATATGCTAATGAGATGCACGACACTTGATTGAAACTTTGTTGCGATTCTAAGCGCACTTCCGGATTTTTACACACAGACAAACTTGTACACAAACGAAATTTCACACTGTATAACATACTGCACAATAAATAATATCTACAAATAGATTTGTATGCATTTGCAGATTACGGTACTGTAAACTACAATCTCTTGAATAGACTAATTCGTTAGCACCGGTATAGGTTACAACTGAGAGACAGCCGTCTGACACAGTCGATTGCTTTCGACTACTGGCATGTTCGACTTCCGGCAGAGTGACTGTACATTCCATGTTTGATTTAGACATCAGGGAAATTAAAATAAAAAAATAAAAAAAGTCAATCAAAAAAAAATTTTTGCATGATAACAAAAAAATACTCATTATATTATTTAATGTAATATATATTTATTTTCTTTTTGATAACGAAAAATATATTCCAAAAGAAGTAAAAACAAAAACGAATGCACTCTTAGTAGCAAATGATCACGGTACCGGTCATGCTGCGTTTCACACAAGTGAATAACTTACTTGTTTTCGAAGTGTTACAATTGCTGATTATTTCTCAGTAGTGATTACAATAACGTACAAAAATAAATTCGTTGAATTGTTGTGAAAATTCAACTTACAAATGTAGTTTCACCGCAAGCGAATGATTTCGGTCACATATAAACGCTCGATACGATACAATATCCGCCATGTTTGTTGTAGTATATGTAGTATAGTGTGATCGTTTGGCTTTGATTTTGATGGGAAAACGACATGATTTGTTTTTAAATCAAGAAATTATTTGTTTTCGAAAGATAAGCTGAGCATTGAAGAAGAATTTAACACTTTGAAGATAATAACAGCTCACAATAAACCTGTACTCTGGAATAAGCGTCAATAACTACGGAAAACCTAAATTAGACTCTAATCTAAGCGTCGAGAATCATTGAAATGTTCAAAAAATTATGCCTTAATTTAAAATTAAATGGTATATCTTTTTCTGAAATATGTGGTGGCTGTTTGGTTTGTCCATGGTTTGTGAAACTTTGGGGTGCGGCTTATATTGCAGGCTTTTTCCTGGGATCAAAACTTGTCAATTTCAACATGAAACAATGTCTCAAGTTAGCTGCGGCCTCAAATATGATTTTTACAATACTACCCTATTAAAACAGCCAGTCGCGTTAACTTTCACAACATTTAGTACTTACACATGCCATATTCTGATATTTGTTCATCACACCCATCAAGAAAAGAAAAAAATTACTTTAGAAAACAAATATCCACCCACAAGTTCAGACAACAATTTGACCAGAATCTTTTTTATTTAATTTTCCGGAACTAAGGAACATAAAATTGTGAAAAACTTACTTCCTCTGCACCATATTGTTCCAATTCTTTAAAGAATTTCAGAGAAATACTGATCATTACTTTAGTTTTATCACCATTGGGATTGGAAATATGATACAATACTCCATCAAAATCTAGAAAATAATCAAATAAGAAACCAATGAATAAACTTGTGTGTGCTGAAGGCAGGCTATTGAAGGCAAAGGACTGAATAAAAAGATGCTTAGAAAGAACTGTAAGAGGTATCCATTGTACTACCTGATAAGAGCACAATAGCGAATATACATACAGTACCACCTTTATATAAGGACCACTTGCCCGTAAGCAGTCCTGATGCAATTTATCTGTAAAGTGACTTGTATATAATGACCACCTGTCTAACGTGACACAGTCCCTGTCTTGTTCAATAATTAACAAAACTAAAGCGTGTCTGCCATTTTGAATCAAAATTTACAACAAATGCATGTCAATGTGTGTGACGTAATGTATAAAGTAGGTATACATGTAATGTTAGATTGCAATTAGTCAAGGCATGTCGGAGAACAGCATTCGTTGATAAAGACTGTCTGCCAGGAAGCCATTTTGAATCTTATCTGAGAAAAAAATTTGCCAATGCTCAATCAAGATTTGGTTTTGAAATGTCAGTTAGTGATTTGTGATGTACACTTACCTGCTATGGTTATATCTACACTTTCTGGTTTACCTCTGAAGTGAAAAGAAAACAACAAGATAATAATAAACGTACGTGTACATAGAATAGTAAGATGTATTACACTGGAAATAATCTACCAGAGTTTGCTACAGGTTGATAATTTTTGGTAACCGTTGTCATAAATAACTATGCAAAATTGCTAAACATTATGAGCAATGATTACCAAATATTATCTACTACAGTGTATATATCATATTATAAATATAAATGGTTTTGTTTGAACAGTCCACAGTCACATAATGTATCTTGACTGTACCTTAACACTAGTATTTAATCTAGCAAGAAACCTATATCATGTTCATGTTTTTGTGTCCCTATAAGTCAGCATAACTTACGTTGGCACAAGAGAAAAAAACAGATGCAAACATGTTAGGCGATGTACATGTAATGGGGTTTGAACCCCCTTAAAGTGGGGTATTCTCTAAGACAGACCGGAAACGGAAACGGGACAAAAACAAAAGATTTTTCAAGTAAGCGTGGGGGAAATAACGTTGCTAAGTAATATCGTTAGGGAAAGCTATTGTTTAAGCTAGTCTGTGATTGGTTGCTGGCAATGTTTGGGGAATTTTGACCAGTTTGTGACGTAGGCTTGTCTTAGAAAATGAGCATCGACATAACTCTGTAAACTGGGGTTGTGTTAAATTTACAGTTTTTATAATTGATTGGCATTTTATAAGAGGTTGATGCACATGTATTGATTCACACAAATGAAAGAAATCTCTTCATTTAGTGGGCACTTTCAGTTTCATAAAGAAAGAAAATAAAAGTTTGTATCGAGACAAAATAGGACAGGGAGTAGTGAGTCAGAGTTGCTCGTTAGCGATCAGAAAACTATTTTATTCTTCTGCATTAACTGGCAAAAGATCCTCAAAACTCCATGAAATGGATAAATAGGAGTTTAAAAATCAAGTGGGTCTATTGCATGGTTTTATTCAGAAACCAGCCACATTTGTTGAGTGTAGAGCAATTCATAACAAGGAAGTTGCATCCCCGTTTTTATTTGTTTGTAGTGACAGGAATTATATTGACCTAGCCCAACCCAAAACTGGAACACAAACCAATGTTTTTACAGACAGGACAATAACACTATGAATTAACGGGAATCCATCGTAGTGAATGTTTTCACTAGTACAACAATATACTTGCATTGGACGTCTGATGCATGCGTACATGCAGTCAGCGGAGAATGGTATTCTAATCACAGTCCCTATTCACAGTCCCTCTATCATAGGACTGTGCCCTATTCTAATATAACCGTGACCGAATTGTGGGACGACTTCCGGTTTCTACAAAAACAGAGTAAACTTGTTTTACTGGTATATATTCTAAAAAATAATTCGTAAAACAATATATTCGTATAGCTACCTATGCCAGAAATACATTCTCAGGCTCTTTTGATAAGAGGAGTGCAGACAAAAAGTGTCCGCCCCACCCATTTGGGCATTTGATCAATTCCAAGCATTGATTTCCTCCTCCTACTGAGAGTACCGTACTCACCCCGCTAGCGCATTGTTGAACCTTAACGACAGCGTTTCTTCAATAATCCTATTATTATTTTCCAAGAGAATCATTTTGTTTGATTAAATAGAAGCTCAATTCACAAGTCAAACCTCATGCCAATAATGGCAAGTCCAAAAACTATACGATGAGTGAAGCGGAAGTGGAAACGATACTTTCAATCCAATACAAAATGGCGACTTCAATCGCTCGTTCAATGGTCTTGTTTTTCAATTTAGACATACCCGCTTATACTTAGCTATTTACATATAAATCAAAATACTTATTATAATATTAAGTTTATTATTTATGTTTCAACACAAAAGATTTTATTCACAGCTTTTCTTATGTTCACGAGTATCGCACTACAAAATAGCGTTGTACGAGGTTATAAGACAGCGCCATCACAGTTACAAAGTTGATTTTTTTATTCACATTATAGAATGTATGCATTTACACGTTTCAAAATTGTAAGAATTTATTTGGTATAATTTTAAAAATGCAACTCTACATTAATGCAGATAAAAGGAGTGATTTGTTCTACAATATTTTTACAAAAAGTTACACAAATATGGAAATTACCCTCTTCTAAATAGCCAACAAATTTGAAATAATGGAATGACCACGAAAAAACGGCTTGTGTCCTGTGCATGCAACTTCACCGATTTCCCACTAGTTCTAGTATTTCTATTTCTGTCAGATAATATGTGGATGACATTTGACTCAAAAGAAAAATGTCGTACAATTTATAATAACCAAATTAGTTACAGTTACAGACAACTTTATTCATTTTTCTTGAAGACCGAGCACCTCAGCAGGAAAACAAGATTCAACTTGATTTTGGCGATTTAATTTTGACTCAGGATCCCTTTCAAATCAGTTGTGTTAGATGGCACACTTGTCATGAAAGAGACAAAAAAAATAATCATTCTCCTAATACGCATGATAGCTATGAGGACAACCAAATATATGTTACTATTCCGTCGGTGGTGGCGCTGTTAAATGTATTCCATCATAAGGCGACGTTTCTATCACTCCCCGGTAATTGTTTCAGTCTTTGCACTAAAGTTTGGTTTATTTATTCAAAAGAGAACATTTATTTCGTTGTTTTTCATGTTCATATTCATATTTGGATTCTGTTATGTAGTTTTTGAGAATCCTGTTACTGACAACACACTCGATTAATAAAATAGCTATTGTATAAACAATATCACGATACAGTAGAAAATGTAGGTCACAATTCAGTGACCTACATATTAAACGTGAATTAATATTGAATGCAGTGCCGAAATACATTTACCAATATAGTCATTATCACAATACTTTAGCCAGGCTAGAATAGATTTTATAACAATACATCATCTAATAAAAAAAATACTGTACAGTAAAGTAACTATAATATGTATTATTCCAATACAGCAACTAACATGGCAATACTGGGCTAATGTATGTACCTTCACATCGTAGCAACAGCAGATAATCTATAATATATGTAGAACCACAATATAATACCGTGGCCAATATTATCGTAATGCAGTAGTTAATATAGATTTTATCGCAATACAGTGGCCAATATTATTGTAATACAGTAGTTAATTTAGGTTTTATCACAATACAGTGGCCAACATTATCGTAATACAGTAGTTAATATAGGTTTTATCACAATACCGTGGCAAATATTATAGTAATACAGTAGTTAATATAGGTTTCGTCACAATACCGTGGCCAATAGTATCGTAATACAGTAGTTGATATAGGTGTTATCGCAATACCGTGGCCAATATTATCGTAATACAGAAGTTGATATTGGTTTTATCACAATATAGTGGCCAATATTACCGTAATACAGAAGTTGATATAGGTTTCGTCACAATACCGTGGCCAATATTAACGTAATACAGTAGTTGATATAGGTTTTATCACAATACCGTGGCCAATATTAACGTAATACAGAAGTTGATATAGGTGTTATTACAATACCGTGGCCAATATTATCGTAATACAGTAGTTAATATAGGTTTAATCACAGTACAGTGGTCAATATTATCGTAATACAATAGTTAATATACGTTTTATCACAATGCAGTGGCCAATAATATCGTAATACAGTAGTTGATATAGGTTTTATCACAATACCGTGGCCAATATTATCGTAATACAGTAATTAAATATATATTTTATCACAATACAATGCCAATATTATCGTAATACAGTAGTTAATATAGATTTCATCACAATACCGTGGCCAATATTATCGTAATACAGTAGTTAATATAGGTTTTATCACAATGCAGTGGCCAATAATATCGTAATACAGTAGTTAATATAGATTTCATCACAATACCATGGCCAATATTATCGTAATACAGTAGTTGATATAGGTTTTATCACAATGCAGTGGCCAATATTATCGTAATACAGTAGTTAAATATAGATTTCATCACAATACAATGCCAATATTATTGTAATACAGTAGTTAATATAGATTTCATCACAATACCATGACCAATATTATCGTAATACAGTAGTTAATATAGATTGCATCACAATACAATGCCAATATTATTGTAATACAGAAGTTGATATAGGTTTTATCACAATGCAGTGGCCAATATTATCGTAATACAGTAGGTAATATAGATTTCATCACAATACCCTGGCCAATATTATCGTAACACAGTAGTGATATAGGTTTTATCACAATACCCTGGCCAATATTATCGTAATACAGTAGTTGATATAGGTTTTATCACAATGCAGTGGCCAATATTATCGTAATACAGTAGTTAAATAGAGATTTCATCACAATACCGTGGTTAATATTATCGTAATACAGTAGTTGATATAGATGTTATCACAATACCGTGGCCAATATTATCGTAATACAGTAGGTAATATAGATTTTATCACAATACCGTAGCTAATATTGTCGTAATACAGTAGTTGATATAGGTTTTATCACAATACCGTGGCCAATATTATCGTAATACAGTAGTTAATATAGATTTCATCACAATACCCTGGCCAATATTATCGTAATACAGTAGTTAATATAGGTTTTATCACAATACAATGGCTAATATTACCGTAATACAGAAGTTGGTATATGTTACAGTACAATATGTTTGTCGATATTAAAGTAATACAGTTGTTGATATAGGTGTCATCACAATACAGTAGTCAATATTATCGTAAAATAGTAGTTTATATATGTTTCAATACAACACAGTGGTCAATGTTCTCGTAATACAGTAGTTTATATAGGTTTAAATACATTAGAATGAGCATAATTGTTCCATGGAAATTATATATAATTACTCAAAGGTTAAATTTCTTTATGAATTACTTCTAATATTGTGGAAATAACCATAAGTAAAGCACAGACTAAAAATAAATGAGTGTTCGCTGCAACATGATTGCCATGGCCTGAAGTTTGTGTGGGCTCATCGCTCAGCGTTGTGTCAATACGCTGCGTGGGATTATTGGTGAATGGTTCACTGGTATCATTCCGCCAGGTCAATGGATCATATGTATTACAAAGATCGGTCTCACAGCATTCTCCACACACGATGCCCTCTACGAACAAAGATTAAAATTTATCTGAAATACATTTGCAGATTTGAACATTCATTAATTGTTGCAACATTAAATTTTGCAAAACACACCCCACCGATCTCCAACTTTAAAGTTGAAATCGGCGATATCGCACTATTTAAATTATAAAACTGAATGCAAAGAATTTCGGAAAAGCAGGTTAATATTCTCGACCGCCGCGAATCAATACTATATACATGTACAAATACCTAAACAACGAAATGTTAGCGATGGTATTGGTTCGTTGAAATCTTGTTCATATCAGAGCATAATCTTTCCCAAACATTGTAGATATGTGTACATATTTCAAATGCACATTGAATTAAATAATTCACTCGTGTTTTTATCTCAGACTTTCACCGTGCTTTTTTTAGCGCGTTTTTACCTGTTTTATTCTCACATATATGCACTCCGCAGACGTGATGTGACTTCTTGACTATGCAGTAACGCCGGAACTCAACTATATTTCGGTCATTATCTTCCGCCCATCCAACCTATAAAGACAGACAGAATTATGAAAACTCTCATCAAACTATTAAACAGTGTTGCATATGGTGATTTAATTTCAATACACACGGTGATGGAAAGATGGGCAGTTGCACAATGACGTGGTCGAACAGCTGCGCATTAAAGCGCGGTGGTCATCGCGCTGCGCGTGTTCGAATTTCATATAAATAAACAATGTATTTCACACGCGTTGTATACGTCGCTATGAGTCCCACATCGAACAGGACGCGGCACGACGACTGTCGTCCTTTAAGTACATCATGTAGCACTCTGGAACGTTATAGTTTTGGGGACTAAAGTGAGAAAATGGCTCATATTTGACAATGTAGTTGACAATGCCATTATCAAATTGTAGATGACTGAGGGAATATTTTTATCGCGACAGATAGTATTATCCACACATGACTCGCTTATTTCACGCAAACATGTGAGGCAGCGTTGCCTCTCGGATCGGACAATATATTTGCCTTGCAAATATGTATTTGTTTTATAGGAACCACGGTACAATAGAAGTGCCTCAAGATCTGGAAGTAGACAACTTGACAGGTTGACTACTTTGGGGTGGGGCAAAAGTGTAGTGGGGGAGGGGATTCTAAATTTCATTCGAAGTCATTATAATTAGTGTGGTTATACAGGAAATTTGATAGGAATTTTACAAAAAAATCTTTCCATTAATTGTTGTGGTAACGGTAACTTTCTAAGTGCTTGAAATGCAACATAAGAACGAAACTTACAAAACACACTTCGTTCTCATTGTTACACTCTTCTTCATATAGCGTGGTATTTTCACTAAACCCGGTGTGACAGTCTTCTACGCCAGATTCCTTTTTTGTTTGACCACACACATAACATGTCAGTACCTCGGAATATCCTTCATGTACAATTACAGCGAAGACGGTGAACACTAATGCACGTGAGAGAAAACAATAAAACAAAGTGTTGAAATCAAAAAGTAAAATACAAGATTGGAATTCAGCTTTAAAAAAGATTTAGAAAATTTAAAAAAAAATGTCTAAGCGGCGTCGAATCCTGAACATCCCTCGTAAATGGCAACATTTCTTTTTCCCTTTGCTTTTTTCAAATGGATATTTATTTGCCTTCCATAATGCAATAGAATTGTGCTTCGCAACAAGGTCAGCGAGCAAACAAAATGCTTAGGCTCGAGCTCCCCTAGGTCGACGTTTATAGTGATGTTAGCAAACAACCTCGATACTTACATATCACGGCGATTAAACTATTGCGCTCCATCTTCCTGCGAATAACTAGAATAACAAAACAGAAAATCACTCTTTGATACTACTTTAATTCACATTCATATACAACTTTAGTATTTACAGTTAACAATATATTCCATACTGTTTTATTCAATTGAGGATTTTTTGAACAGTATACGAGCTATAGGCGGATGAAATTTCGTTAATGAGAGACGGGACACATGGTTCAAATTAGATTGCTGCCTTCGCCAATGGACTCAAATGATATAACAGGTCCCAAAACTGACAAAATGGTCGCTCTGATGTTTAATACTTTAGGAGATCTCTTCGAAAAAAAAATGTAAGCACATGCTGACACCGATCTAGAAAACATTCTTTTTTCGTGAATTGTTCAAACTCTGGACATTTGCAATTTTTAGTAATCCTTAATCTCATAATCGGACAATACAAATTGTGTGAATTATCAAAATATCAACTTAAGTTAGATTCAGAAATATGTTCCCATTGAATACAAAAGTATTCTGCATGAGGTAACTTACAGTGACATACTTCGGGATACTTTATCACAAGGTATGTTTAACAATAGCTAGACAGACGTGGGCTCCTAGTAACCAACAGACCTTTTTTTAAACATGACAGTTAGTATAGTATGCAAACACAGGCCAGACATGATAGATTGTCGTGGTGACATTCAGCTATCATAACGATCGTCACAATTTCTGAATCATCGTCATGACCTTGACTGTAGTCACGAGTGTATCAGGTCTTCCTTACTCACGTACAGAGATGTTTTTGCAGTCACCGTGCACAAATCTAACACGTCGTGACAGAGAGAGATGTTTTTGATATTGATCCTTGAACTGTACAAATAATGACAGGTGGTGCAATGATAATGGGAACGTTGTGAGACTCACATATATAATTATTATACATATGTCACCGTAACGCCGTACGTTACAGCGTGCCATAATTTTGCGGTAGTTTACGGGCTATTTTCATCCTACCATATAAGGGAATGCGAATTCCAAATATGGATTGATTGCGCACGTAAACAAGGCTGCCACCCCCGGTTTGACGGGATTCAACACACAGAAGTTCGCTGACTCTGTTCTATACATTTTGGATTTCGGCATTCCCATGACGTATCTTTGGAAGGAAAAGATGTATAATAATAAAGTTATTACGAGGATACCTCAAAATATGCACTCAGACAGTACGCCGTTGCATCGACCTCCGCTGCGCGTCGCTCGATACTGTCTTCGTGCATATTTTAATGTATCCACGTAATAACCTCATATTATTGTGCAATGTACATGCAGGTGATAATGTTATTATTACTATTATCAACATATTCATGCTACCATCTATAAATATGGTTGTCTTGGCTAGAAAGACTAGAGATTTGACTCAATCATCATACTAATTTTTAATCCAGTGTCAACACCACATTAAATAATATGTGTCCTGTGTTTTACAAAAACTACTATTTGTAATTATTAAATGTAATTATGTAAATCGCACTAAGTTGTAGAAGCCTACCTTTAGCGCCTGTAAAATAAGCAACCGTAAATCCAACGATGAACTTGTTTAACAAGTGTGCCTTCTGTTATCACGACAATGTAGCTATAGACAACAACACCCACTGACTGTGAAGTCATATGTATTTATCTTTGTTGGGTATTAACATATTAACATATACTTGAAATTCATCATACTTGGTGTATAGCGTTGATATTAGTATGTAATCGGGTCAATACTGCATGTTGCATATTACCCTATAGTCGTACTACAAGGCACGATTAGTAACAACATTTGAACTATATAAAACAGATGGCTTGTGGACACTAAGAATGTATATACTCCACATACTGCAAACGTAACACACGTGTAATGCTCAGATATACACACGGTGTGACAGGCTACAAATGTTTTAATTTGCTCGAGTCACACACAGCAATGTCCAGGATAGCTATTACATATATCGAGGGGTACCTGTGTGTTATAAATTATATTTTGTTCAACTTCACTGTGTGTACGTATGAATGAAAAATACACACGTTTTCAGACGTCTACCGGGATAATGACGATTGTTAACGGCCTGTTTAGGGTCGAAGTTCCAATACATGTCCATGTCCAGTAGGTGCCCACTGTCGTACTCGTCTGATGCCGTGTTAGTGAAATATGTTGCAGGAATTGAAAAAAAAATGAAAATTGCAACTCCAGATTTTCATATTCCGTCCCAATTATATTTTAAACGAATTGTTTTTTGGTGTAAACTTCGATGTCTTAAAATAAAGCAACACATACTACATTACGTCATTTATAAAATATAATTTTAATGACTTAAACGTGATGTAATTGTGACGTATTTGGAAAAAAAGGAATGCTAATAACAGTATTAACTTATCTTACAAGAAAGTGATAACGTTTCTTATAAAAAAACAACAACGTTGTTTGCATATTATTGTAAAATCTAATTACAGTGATATTTGAAAACAACACAATCCACGCCCGGGGTTCACCTATGAATGTTTCTCGCCAAGACTTGAGGGCAATAGAGGAAACTAAATACAAAATGAGTCCCGTAGTTAAATAGCGTTTAACATTTACACTACATCAGTATATGCACCAAACATTGGTTATTGACACCATGGGTACTACATATTCTCCGAATTTTCCTGTCATTCGGGAAAATATGACTGCATATGATTTTTTTCACCATATGAAATCAAACGAAATCGCCATTTTGTTTTGTGCAAGAGTAGTTCAATGACCATGCATTTTATCAGAATTTTTTGAAATTTTAGTTAAATTAAATAAAAATCTGGCGATACGTTTGAATGACAGTTCACTGCCTCAATACAGTGCCAGTACTGTTCGCAGTGTAGCACAGATCACTTAGCGTTAACTATCGAAACAATTACAACTTAAATAGCATTATAATTTAACCATATCCTCTGTTGCTCACGTGTGACGCCCTCTTCGTCGTTGTCGTTCAACAATTTCCTTAAAACCCCAATTCTTTATTTTGATACAGTAACTCGGTGCGTTCTGTTTCAAAAGTGTCCTATTTCTGCGATGCGAATAGTCAATGACATATCTGCCTTCATCTAGACATTCTGAAATCATCTTACGTAACATACTTCGAAATGTCGCCAAGTCTTCATCAAAACTGTCACCGTACTCCCTGACCTTGAGCCAGAAAGTGTTGTTGAAGTGTTGATACAGTTTAAAATCAGCGCTGTTTATTTTCAAAATTCGCTGTGTTTTCCAATCGTTAAGTTCTGATCGCAGTTTGTCGTTCCTTGTATTCTGCTTCATATACAGGATATCTTCAAATTCCCAGCATAAAAGCTTCTTCAACAAAATGAGCGATTCATCAAAATATTCAGCAATCATGACCAAACCAAAATCCTTCGTTGCCTGTTGTATCACGTGATCAACGAGTGTTTCATTGTCATTGTTTTCAGGGTCAAGCCCGACATCAAATATTTGTCTATTTCTCAGTAATGTTTTAAAGTATGGGCTCTTAATACGTTTAAGATACAGGTTTGGATTTGACAAAAACATTTCGAATGGTTCTTGTCTTTCAGTGTTTCGTAGCCGGAGGATGCGAGAAACATGAAAAAATCCAAAAATTGACTCGTATACAGCTACGGGGTGGCGTAGAATTGTTATAAACGTAGCATTTGGAATCACCTTGGCGATAGCTGGTTTACTGAAGGGAACGTGACTAACTAGCATGCTGTACCGGGAACCTGGAAGAGGAGGCAACAAGTGCTCCGCCATTTCACTGTTGAAGCGTTGTGTTCTCGAAAAAAAACCAGGATCATGACGCGATGGTAATACAAATGACAAGTGATTACTGAGTCCAAAACGTGCGAGTATTGAGAAAACTGTCGTACTAGCTGTCTTGTATGTCTTCAAGAACGCAACTTTTGTGACAAGGGAATTGCACGCTGCGTGCTGCTGCTGATACCTGATCATCGGCGATACTTGCAATGAAGTGGTATTGACTTGCATTAAGGTGGTACTGACTTGCATTAAACTGGTATTGGAATGCAACCTGAATACGAAAGAAAATGAAATCGATTATTTTAAACTGTTTGATATACAGTTTGTATGAACAGCATATTACAGGTGCAATTTTCAATTAAAAATATACGGAAAACCGGCGGGCGGTAACAGAAATTACACAGAAGTACGTAGAACTTCTAATTTAGAAAAAAAAATCTAAATTTTACATAATTTGATAAAATGTACCCAGAACATTTAACGGTCATTTTAGATTTATGAAAATTACGGAGTTTTGTCCTCTCTTGCTGCGAAATTGAATGTACCAAACCCTGATCACATTGTGTTCACCACCCTCACATTACATTAGAAACAGACCCATACACAACGATCCAAGAAAATAGTAGTCACGAGACCCAAATAATTACTGTACTTTTATTTGTTTTGTTGAAGGTATTTTAGTATTTTAGACTGCGTTGATTCAGTGTAAAATTCAATTTTGGATTATAATAATTCAAGCTACGGGCTAAGCGGGTGGATAAATATGTATAAAATAGTTATTACTGAGATCAAAGACAAATAAACAGGTTTGTAATTTACAGAATGGAAAAAATTTCCATCATTCTTAGTTGTTGGAACAGAGGAGAAGCATAGGAATGCGAATTAGAGAAAATGATGAGGCGTAATGTTTGTTTGTTTTTTCTGTAAGAGATATATTGGTTGAAGTAGAGTTGCAATATGTAATATGTGTATTGGAGAATAAAATATGTTTAGGTACAAAATGTCTTAGTTGTGAAATTGATTCAATTTTTATCTTCGTGGGCTTTCCATGTCATATTCTAGACGCCCAGGTATTTAACGGTACATACGCCCTCAGTCGGTGACACGTTAACACTTAGGCTGCCCTCAGGAGTGACCGATCGTTGTAGTGTTTTAATTTTCATGTAATTTTTTTCGGGATTTATAATAAATTTATTATCCATTCACCATTCACGAATTAAAAGTCGTTATCAATTTCTGAGATAATGAGTTTATTGGTTTGAATGAATTTAAAAGGGTAATGTCAGCTGCAAAAAGTCGAAAGTAAAAGTAATCGGTAGAAGTGACTATAATCACAGTCCCTCTATCTATGATAAAGGGACTGTGTTATAATATAAAAATAAGATCGGACCTAGAATCGACCATTGTGGGACCCCGCCCGCACGTTGTAGGTACAAATTGCTGTCAAATTGCTTACAAAGGTGGACAAAGGTAGTGTTATACACTAAAGTAGAGAACAAGACCTCTAATACCATATAGTGTTCTAGTTTGCGGCAAAGAATTTCATGAGTGATTACTGGTGTTGAAGGCTGTTTTGAGATCGAGTTGTCAGCCATTTCCTACACCGGGTCAGCAAAGAAAAGTTTCGTACTGTGTTAGTATAGAAGCCAAATTGGGTATCAATGAGTACAGATTTGTTTTAAAGAAATATAACTAATTGCTTATTAACGATTGATTCACATACTTCACACGCTCAAGATAGGGGGTGGATATTGAACGGTAGTTGTTGACAACATTTATTTAACAGAACCTTTTTTTATAAATGGGAATGACCTCTGCTATTTTAAAAGCATCGGGAAATATACCTTGACAAAGTGAACAATTGACAACGAGGGCAAACTGGTGATGAACGATATTCATGCATGCTTGACTATTTTTGAAGGGCGCCATCATGTCCAACTGATAACCCAAGATCTTGAGAATTCCTGGTTAGGAAGACTTCAAAAAATTGTTCGGCAAAATGGGCAGGGTGGTCCGCCGCCTAACAGTGAGCAATATATTCTACGTAATCTAAAAAGTTGTTGTCGTAACCTTGACTAACAGAGCCAGTGGTGCAATATGCGTTCATTACCACCGATACTATCTGGCGGAATATATGGGGGGGGGGACAAGGTGATAAATGATATGAGATGCAACAAAACTGATGTAAATAAATCACTGATATTTACCTATATATACCCCAATACTCACCTGCATCTCGGCATTATTTGCTTCTTTACGCTTGTCCATTGGTTAAGAGGGAATAATGTCACGAAAACTCCGTATTCTACGAATGTTATTACACATAAAATAACAAATGCAGCTAATATAGTTGATTTTCTCGTCTCAGCAGACATGACAGCGACTCTAATAACTAAGCTGTGGCCTACGAATACCATGACCACAGTCACCGCCTGAAAACACTATTCATTCTTTGTGTTTGAATGAACTGTTCTGAACAATGGTGTATAGGTATTTCTACACATACACTCATTTTACGGGTCAACAGGATCATTTTTGCACAATTGTTCAAGAGGTCATGTATTTTAACGTAGTGACCTGACGTTCGATCATCTAAACATCGGCACTATTTAGAACCTTGTCTTTCCGTTTAAGGTACAGAAGGAGTTAAATTTCATAACGGAGCTGCCTTCGCCTAAGACATCGACAATCAACTGTACCGTATATTGCTTCTCAGAGTTTAATGCACTCGTACGCACTAAATACCTGATGGGCGGGCCGCGGCCACTGCCCTCTCTATCAATACACGACAGAATACAGTCCGTATTCAATCTGGAGCAGAATCAATAACAGTGTTGTTATAGTCTGACCCCTTATTTGTACAATTGGAACTATTGCAATGTTACAGCACTGTGTGGACTTGAACTTGAGTTTTAATGCTGTCAAAACTAAAGTATCACGAGTAAAGACCGTGACCGGGGTTGCTCCTATGACCACATGTTACCAAGAATGGTGTGGCTATTTGATCATGATTCAGATTCAAAAAAGTAATCCGAT